ATTTTCAAGTCTGCATGTAGGCAGCAGCTTCTCTGTGCTAGTGATGGCTGTTTAACAGTCTGATGGCCTTGAGATAGAAACTGTTTTTTCAGTCTCTCGGTCCCAGCTTTGATGCACCTGTACTGACCTCGCCTTCTGGATGATAGCGGGGTGAACAGGTAGTGGCTCGGGTGGTAGTTGTCCTTGATTATATTTTTGGCCTTCCTGTGACATCGGGTGCTGTAGGTGTCCTGGAGGGCAGGTAGTTTGCCCCCGTGATGCGTTGTGCAGACCGCACCACCCTCTGGAGAGCCCTGCGGTTGTGGGCGGTGCAGTTGCCGTACCAGGCGGTGATACAGCCCGACTGGATGCTCTATATTGTCCATCTGTAAATGTTTGTGAGGGTTTTAGGTGACAGGCCACATTTCTTCAGCCTCCTGAGATTGAAGAGACGCTGTTGCGCCTTCTTCACCACACTGTCTGTGTGGGTGGGCCATTTCAGTTTGTCAGTGATATGTACGCCGAGGAGCTTAAAACTTTTCACCTTCTCCACTGCTGTCCCGTCGATGTGGATAGGGGGTACTCCCTCTGCTGTTCCCTGAAGTCCACGATCATCTCCTTTGTTTTGTTGACGTTGAGTAAGAGGTTATTTTCCTGACACCACACTCCGAGAGCCCTCACCTCCTCCCTGTAGGCTGTCTCATCGTTGTTGGTAATCAAGCCTACTACTGTTGTGTCGTCTGCAAACTTGATGATTGAGTTGGAGGCGTGCATGGCTACGCAGTCATGGGTGAACAGGGAGTACCGGAGGGGGCTGAGCACACACCCTTGTGGGGCCCCAGTGTTGAGGATCAGCGAAGTGGAGGCGGCCCGTCAGGAAGTCCAGGACCCAATTGCACTGGGCGGGGTTGAGACCCAGGGCCTCAAGCTTAATGATGAGCTTGGAGGGTACTATGTTGTTGAATGCTGAGCTATAGTCAATGAACAGCATTCTTACATAGGTATTCCTCTTGTCCAGATGGGATAGGGCAGTGTGCAGTGTGATGGCGATTGCGTTGTCTGTGGACCTATTGGGGCAGTAAGTAAATTGAAGTGGGTCTAGTGTGACAGGTAAGGTTGAGGTGATATGATCCTTGACTAGTCTCTCAAAGCACTTCATGATGACAGAAGTGAGTGCTACAGGGCGATAGTCATTTAGTTCAGTTACCTTTGCATTCTTGGGTACAGGAACAATGGTGGCCATCTTGAAGCATGTGTGGACAGCAGACTGGGATAGCAAATGTTTTATCCTGAACTTAATTAGGCTTGCCATAACAAAGGGGTTGAACACGTATTGACTGAAGACATTTCAGCTTTTCATTTGTAATTAATTTGTAAACATTTTGAAAAACATAATTCCACTTTGACATTATGGGGTATTCTGTGTATTTTTTTTTTTTTTACATTCAGGCTGTAACACAACAAAATGTGGAAAAAGTAAAGAGGTGTGAATACTTTCCAAGGCACTGTAAGTTGCATGGACTCATTCCGTGTTCAATAATAAGTGTTAACATGATTTTTGAATGACAACCACATATTTGTACCCTAAACAATTATCTGGAAGGTCCCTCAATCGAGTAGTGAATTTCAACCACAGATTCAACCACAAAGACCAGGGAGGTTTTTCAATGCCTCACAAAGAAGGGCACCGATTGGTAGATGTGTAAAAATTCAAAAAGCAGACGCTGTATATCCCTTTGAGCATGGTGAAGTTGTTAATTAGGCTTTGGATGGTGTATCAATACACCCAGTCACTACAAAGATATAGGTGTATTTCCTAACATGCCAGAGAGGAAGGAAATTGCTCAGGGTTTTCAATATGAGGCCAATGGTGATTATAAAACAGTTACAGAGTTTAATGGTTGTGATATGTGAAAACTGAGGATGGATCAATAACATTGTAGATAATCCACAATACTAACCTAAATAACAGAGTGAAAAATGGAAGACTGTACAAAGTAAAAAATAATCCAAAACATGTATCCTGTTTGCAACAAGATACTTAAGTTTCCTTATAGAATCATAGCCGTGGGAAGTGTACTGGAGTTGCCCTGATAAATTGAAATACATTTGCCAAAGTTATATAATTACTGCTGTCTGTTCAGAAAGAAATGAAATAATTCCGAATACTACACACAGAGTGAGCCTATAATTTAGTCACAGAGGATCAATAGCTTATTTTAAAAAATAGCCTAGCTGTGGATTGTGTGTAGCCCAATCACAATGCATGCTTACAGTCGGGAATGCGCCTCAAATCTGTCAGTGAACAGCATGCAGCCAAAACAGGCCTTTCGCAATATTTAAAATACAATCGCGGGAAAACATGTTGGAAAGCAAATGGATCCTGCTGAAAAGAGAAGACTATTCTGTCTGTAGGCTACCAAGTTATCAACTTCCAAATAGGCCTATTGAGCGAACAGCATTGTTTTACAAAGTAAAACAAAAGAGAGATAAGCTTTTGGCAAGAGCGCATCGGCCATCGCCAGTGAGTGAGCTGCGCATCATTGAGCGAGTCAGTGAAACTGGAAAGCTTTTTGACGTCCAAAATAAACTTCTCAGCCTTTCAAGCCATAACCTTTGAGCTGTAAAATACTACTTCCAATCAACTCACGTAAGCAAAGCTGAATCCCCTTAGGTGAGTAACCATAGTAAGACATCTAATATAAAATCCATTTGTACCCCTTCATGAAAGCAACCCAAGCATTTAAGAGTTTAGCAGTAAAGGAAGAGTTTAATGTCACACATTCATGCCAGAGGCAGCCTTTCTATTTGACAGGGAGGGTCATTCAGACAGACTCCTATAGTTTCAAGGGGAGAAGAGGCAGAGCAGGCATTTTAAATGTGGTCATGCTTGTTTCCCCTAGTGAGACAAAGCGTCAGTTAGCCAAGGCAAAACCTGCAGCCCTTCTGCTCTCTGACAAACCCTGAGGTCCCCAACTCCATCTTACTGCCATGTGATCTCTACTCAGACCCAGGGAGGCAATCCTCTTAGCTCCCTCACCCAACAGAGAGAGGGAGAGAGGATAACCACAGAGAGAGAGAGAGAGAGAGAGAGAAAGAAAGAAAGAAAGAAAGAAAGAAAGAAAGAAAGAAAGAAAGAAAGAAAGAAAGAAAGAAAGAAAGAAAGAAAGAAAGAAAGAAAGAAAGAAAGAAAGAAAGAAAGAAAAAGAGAGAGAGAGGAGGGAACCCTGTATAAATGTACACAGTATATGTGTGAAGGAGAGAGAAACACCCAGAGAAACAGAAAGAGTCAGAGAGAGAACCCTACAGTATATACAGTGAGGGAAAAAAGTATTTGATCCCCTGCTGATTTTGTACGTTTGCCCACTGACAAAGACATGATCAGTCTATAATTTTAATGGTAGGTTTATTTGAACAGTGAGAGACAGAATAACAACAAAAAAATCCAGAAAAACGCATGTCAAAAATGTTATGAATTTATTTGCATTTTAATGAGGGAAATAAGTATTTGACCCCTCTGCAAAACATGACTTAGTACTTGGTGGCAAAACCCTTGTTGGCAATCACTGAGGTCAGACGTTTCTTGTAGTTGGCCACCAGGTTTGCACACATCTCAGGAGGGAATTTGTCCCACTCCTCTTTGCAGATCTTCTCTAAGTCATTAAGGTTTCGAGGCTGACGTTTGGCAACTCGAACCTTCAGCTCCCTCCACAGATTTTCTATGGGATTAAGGTCTGGAGACTGGCTAGGCCACTCCAGGACCTTAATGTGCTTCTTCTTGAGCCACTCCTTTGTTGCCTTGGCCGTATGTTTTGGGTCATTGTCATGCTGGAATACCCATCCACGACCCATTTTCAATGCCCTGGCTGAGGGAAGGAGGTTCTCACCCAAGATTTGACAGTACATGGCCCCATCCATCGTCCCTTTGATGCGGTGAAGTTGTCCTGTCCCCTTAGCAGAAAAACACCCCCAAAGCATAATGTTTCCACCTCCATGTTTGATGGTGGGGATGGTGTTCTTGGGGTCATAGGCAGCATTCCTCCTCCTCCAAACACGGCGAGTTGAGTTGATGCAAAAGAGCTCGATTCTGGTCTCATCTGACCATGAAACTTTCACCCAGTTCTCCTCTGAATCATTCAGATGTTCATTGGCAAACTTCAGACGGGCCTGTATATGTGCTTTCTTGAGCAGGGGGATCTTGCGGGCGCTGCAGGATTTCAGTCCTTCACGTCGTAGTGTGTTACCAATTGTTTTCTTGGTGACTATGGTCCCAGCTGCCTTGAGATCATTGACAAGATCCTCCCGTGTAGTTCTGGGCTGATTCCTCACCATTCTCATGATCATTGCAACTCCACGAGGTGAGATCTTGCATGAAGCCCCAGGCCGAGGGAGATTGACAGGTCTTTTGTGTTTCTTCCATTTGCGAATAATCGCACCAACTGTTGTCACCTTCTCACCAAGCTGCTTGGCGATGGTCTTGTTGCCCATTCCAGCCTTGTGTAGGTCTACAATCTTGTCCCTGACATCCTTGGAGAGCTCTTTGGTCTTGGCCATGGTGGAGAGTTTGGAATCTGATTGATTGATTGCTTCTGTGGACAGGTGTCTTTTATACAGGTAACAAACTGAGATTAGGAGCACTCCCTTTAAGAGTATGCTCCTAATCTCAGCTCGTTACCTGTATAAAAGACACCTGGGAGCCAGAAATCTTTCTGATTGAGAGGGGGTCAAACACTTATTTCCCTCATTAAAATGCAAATCAATTTATAAAATTTTTTGACATGCGTTGTTCTGGATTTTTTTGTTGTTGTTCTGTCTCTCACTGTTTAAATAAACCTACCATTAAAATTATAGACTGATAATTTCTTTGTCAGTGGGCAAACGTACAAAATCAGCAGGGGATCAAATATTTTTTTCCCTCACTGTAGATGTATGGTACCAGTTGATGACAGAAAGCTAGATGGAAGGAACACATCTACTCTGACAGTGGGCTGATAGTGGGCTGTGTCCATTAGCTGCTTTACCTGGTAGAGAGCCAGAGAATGGCCGTATCTCTGCAGAGGACCACTATTGATTGGCACCACATCCCAAGTGCTGCTCTCCATATTATAACTGCAGATAGGAAAAAAGAGAGTCAGGCCTGAGCTATACAGAACATTCAACAAAGAGATAGATAGATGGAGAGTGGAGGGAGAAGTTAGCGATACAGAGAGATATTACAGGTAAAGGGAGACAACGAGAGATGAAGTAGTACAGGGGAGAGAGAGAGACAGAGAGTTTGGAGCAAAAGACCCACAGAGAGAAGGCAAAAGACAGGAAGGAGAGAGACAAATATATAGGAGGTAAATATACACAGAGAGAGATGAAGAGAAAGAGGGGGAAAGACAGACAGACAGACAGAGACAGCCATACATACAGAGGTTCCAGGCCTCTCTTCAGTCAGTGCCTTACTTGAGCACCATGTGGAAGGAGCTGTAGTTGAAGGTGTATCCTCCAACGACCCACATGAGTTTCCCGTGGACCACAGTCTTATGGGAGGCCCTGCCCAGAGACTGTCCGAAGGGCTTGACGTTAGGCATCACCCAGTAAGACTCTGTGGATGGTACTGACAGAGCACAGTCTGGACCTGGATAGGATGACAACACATGGCTCAAACACATATGTAAAATACCTACAAATAACTGAAAGTATGTGAGGTGCGTTTGTAGCAAAATACTCTCTTCAACAACACTACAATACAGCTGACTACCAAACGTGGTACCATACCACCATCTGCTGGTGAAGAGCCTGATAACACAGCCTATGTCATGAGGGGGGTCGGCCATGATGGTGATGAGCTCACATGGCTAACAGGACCCCACCACCCAGACGCCAACTGGTGGCAGAACCATTAGGGGTTTTAATCAGGAGGGAGGGACTGATTCATCAAACCCCATTATTAGAAGGACCCCATGATATTGGCCTCTGTTGGCCCCTATTAGAGTGGGGGACAGACAGTGGACAGGGGGAATGGGTGGCTGTGATCGGGTCTATGGGCCAGGACGTTGTCTAACCCAATACATCAGTGGAGAAAACCTCATTAGGGAAATGACCAGTGTGAAATGACCAGTGACCAGCAACTCATAGCTACTCATAGCATAGCAGTGGCACCCTGCTGACCAGCTCTGTCTAATTGAGAGGTGCTTGGTTGGTTCTAATGTAAGGATGAAGTATTAGGTTTTCAGTTTTATTTATTTGCACCAAAGAAAAGAAGTGAAAGACAAAACAGTACAGATAAAAACAGCTAAAAACAGTGTGAGGTTAGAAAAAAAAAAGTTTGTTCAATCAGTTCAACAAAGCATATAAATTATAATTGTACATTATATACTCAGTACACAAGAAAAAACAAGTTTTCTTATGTGTGTGTGTGTGTGAGAGAGTTAGGCAACATAGAGGGGATTATTGGGTAGTTTGGTTCATCAGGTTGACCCCCAGTCTTCGCTTGATGTTATTGAGGGATGATGAGGTTTTGGCAATGTGAAGATAAGAATTCCAGAGTATGGTACCTCTGTATCTGATAGAGAATTGACTATGTGAGGTGTGGCAGTGGGGAGGGTGAAGATTATCGCAGTGTCTTATGCACTGTTACTATTAAAACCTACCCCAACCAGAAACCGTGGATAGATGGCAGCATTCGTGAAAAACTGAAAGCACGAACCACCGCATTTAACCATGGCAAGGTGACGGGGAATATGGCAGAATACAAACAGAGTGGTTGTTCCCACCGCAAGGCAATCAAACAGGCAAAATGTCAATATCGAGACAAAGTGGAGTCACAATTCAACGGCTCATGAAGCTGGTTGAGAGAATGCCAAGAGTGTGCAAAGCTGTCATCAAGGCAAAGGGTAGCTATTTGAAGAATCTCAAATATAAAATATAATTTGATTTGTTTAACACTTTTTTGGTTACTACGATGTAGAAAATAGTACAAATATAGAAAAACCCTTGAATGTGTAGGTGTTCTAAAACTTTTGATTGGTAGTGTACGTTAGAGGTTCAGTAATCAAGGAAGACACTGATTTCACCAAAGAGGCACCAATCTCATCATGACCTGCTGCTGATAGAGCTCTTTACTCTAATCCAAGATGGCATAGCAGTGCGGTCGTGTTTTCTGTAGTGTCCTCATGTAAATAGCCTTTTTTTTCCGTCTTTTTCGTATATATTTCTCAATCTCACTTTCCATCCTTTAACTAAATATACTTTCCTGCAACCCGTCTCACCCAATGTGGAACGGATTCTATTATTTCTTCATATATTTTTATCCAGAACCTCTGGCTGAAACTAGCCAGCTAGCCAGCTAACTAGCTACTTGCTATTAGACACCGTTAGCGGTTTTCACCATTGTCTGTGGCCATGGCCTGCACTACCTACCAGCCAGCTCTAGTCTGGACAATTATCGGCCAGTCTGCACCGTCTGCACATCGCGCCATCGAGCCAGAGCATATCGGATTTTCTGCCGGAATCACTGAATCACTGGACCTTAACACCGGATCATCGCAACTAGCTAGCTGCAACCGAATGGCTGTTGTCGTTGTTGGCTAATCACCACTAATCACCACTGTCCTGAAGCTAACCCCAGTTAGCCTTGAGCTAGCCTCAAGCCAGGCCCATCTCCCGTCAACCGGACAGGACCTCCTAGTGTTGACACGGAGCCCCGCTGATCCATCACGACTGGTCTGCCGACGTAATCGTCTGATGTGGTTCTCATTGCGACGACCACGAAGATCCATCTGCTAGCCCCAGCCCGCTAGCACACGCAATCAACAGCCGTGCCTGTAGCGTAGCAGCCACTGAACTGCTCCCGGACTTACTTATTGCTGTTCACTGGAACTTATGATCACTCAGGTACACAGCTGATGCCTGCTGGACTGTTCCTTTATACAGTACCCCATCCTGTTGATCTGTTTAGCCTCAGCTCAAACTTTCGTCGCCATTACCAGCTGTTGTCTTAGCTCTCTCAAATAACACCTGTGACTGCTTTATGCCTATCTCTCATGTCAATATACCTTGTCTATTGCTGTTTCGGTTAGTTCTAACTGTACTTTATCAATGTAGAGCCCCCAGTCCTGCTCAACCTGTCTCAGATAGATTCTTTGTCCCACCCCCCACACACGCGGAGACCGGCTCAATCGGTGCCTCCAGTGATGCTATCTGTTTCATTTTTACCCAACGCTTAGGTTTACCTCCACTGTACTCATATCCTTCCATATCCTTGTCTGTACATAATGCCCTGAATCTATTCTACAACGCCCGGAAATCTGCCCTTTTTTTTCTCTGTACCCAACGCACTAGAAGAACATGTCTTAAAGCCTTTAGCCGTATCCTTATTCTACTCCTCCTCTGTTCCTCTGGTAATGTAGAGGTTAACCCAGGCCCTGTAGCCCCCAGTATCACTCCTGCTCCCCAGGCGCTATCATTTGTTGACTTCTGTAATCACAAAAGCCTTGGTTTCTTGCATGTTAACATCAGAAGCCTCCTCCATAAGTTTGAGTTATTCACTGCGTTAGCACACTCAGCCAACCCTGATGTTCTAGCAGTGTCTGAATCCTGGCTTAGGAAGGCCACCAAAGATTCTGAAATGTCCATTCCCAACTACAACATTTTCCGTCTAGATAGAACTGCCAAAGGGGGCGGAGTTGCAATCTACTGTAGAGATAGCCTGCAGAGCTCTATCATACTATCCAGGTCTGTGCCCAAACAGTTTGAGCTTCTACTTCTAAAAATCCACCTTTCCAGAAATAAGTCTCTCACTGTTGCCGCTTGCTACAGACCCCCCTCAGCACCCAGCTGTGCCCTGAACACCATATGTGAATTGATTGCCCCCCATCTATCCTCAGAGTTCGTATTGTTTGGTGACCTAAACTGGGATATGCTTAACACCCCGGCCGTCCTACAATCAAAACTAGATGCCCTCAATCTCACACAAATTATCAAGGAACCTACCAGGTACAACCCTAAATCCGTTAACATGGGACTAATTTACCCTCTAAATACACCTCCGCTGTCTTCAACCAGGATCTCAGCGATCACTGCCTCATTGCCTGCGTCCGTAATGGGTCCACGGTCAAACGACCACCCCACATCACTGTCAAACGCTCCCTAAAACACTTCAGTGAGCAGGCCTTTCTAATTGACCTGGCCTGGGTATCCTGGATGGATATTGACCTCATTCCGTCAGTAGAGGATGCCTGGTTGTTCTTTAAAGGTGCTTTCCTCTCCATCTTAAATAAGCATGCCCCATTCAAAAAATGCAGAACTAAGAACAGATATAGCCCCTGGTACACCCCAGACTTGACTGCCCTTGACCAGCACAAAAACATCCTATGGCATACGGCATTAGCATCGAACAGTCCCCGCGATATGCAACTTTTCAGGGAAGTCAGGAACCAATATAAACAATCAGTTAGGAAAGTAAAGGCTAATGATTTCAAACAGAAATGTGTATCCTGTAGCACTAACTCCAAAAAGTTTTGGGAGAACACTGTAAACACTGTAAAGTTCATGGAGAATAAGAGCACCTCCTCCCAGCTGCCCACTGCACTGAGGCTAGGAAACACTGTCACTACCAATAAATCTACGATAATAAAAAATTTCAACAAGTATTTTGCTACGGCTGGCCATGCTTTCCACCTGGCTACCCCTACCCCGGACACCAGCTGCGGACCCCTACAAATCAGCTGGGCTAGTCAATCTGGACCCTTTCTTTCTAAAACTTAAACTCTCCTTCCAGACTCACATTAAGCATTTCCAATCCAAAGTTAAATCTAGAATCGGCTTCCTATTTCGCAACAAAGCCTCCTTCACTCATGCTGCTAAACATTCCCTCATAAAACTGACTATCCTACCGATCCTTGACTTCGGCGATGTCATTTACAAAATAGCTTCCAACACTCTACTCAGCAAATTGGATGTAGTCTATCACAGTGCCATCCGTTTTGTCACCAAAGCCCCATATACTACCCACCATTGTGACCTGTACGCTCTCGTTGGCTGGCCCTCACTACATATTCGTCGCCAAACCCACTGGCTCCAGGTCATCTATAAATCCCTTCTAGGCAAATCCCCGCCTTATCTTAGCTCATTGGTCACCATAGCAACACCCACCCATAGTATGCGTTCCAGCAGGTATATCTCACTGGTCATCCCCAAAGCCAACACATCCTTTGGTCGCCATTCCTTCCAGTTCTCTGCTGCAAATGACTGGAACGAACTGCAAAAATCTCTGAAGCTGGAGACACTTATCTCCCTCAATAACTTTAAGCATCAGTTGTCAGAGCAGCTTACTGATCACTGCACCTGTACACAGCCCATCTGTAATTAGCCCACCCAACTACCTCATCCTCATATTGTTATTTACATTGTTATTTATTTAGCTCATTTGCACCCCAGTATCTCTATTTGCACATCATCTTCTGCACATCTATCACTCCAGTGTTAATACTCAATTGTAATTATTTTGCACTATGGCCTATGTATTGCCTTACCTCCATAACTTACTACATTTGCACACAATGTATATAGATTTTCTATTGTGTTATTGACTGTACGTTTTGTTTATTCCATATGTAACTCTGTGTTGTTGTTGTTTTTTCCGCACTGCTTTGCTTTATCTTGGCCAGTTCGCAGTTGTAAATGAGAACTTGTTCCCAACTGGCTTACCTGGTTAAATAAAGGTGAAATAAATAAAATAAATAAATACAAATATCTTATGTGATTTAACTAAGGGAAAGCAGTGGTGAAATACAGAGTTGAAAGATGTGAGAAAAGTCAGGTAAACAGACTCCACATCGGCCTGATTATAAAAAATGTCCCATGAAATATCATTAATCAACATCTTAAAGCGCTCACAATTAGTTTTGTTAAATATTCTACATTAGTGCTATTAATCATTCCCATCTTTTCATTTCCAGCTGCCAAATAGAAGTGGAAAATTGGAAAGTGGTCAGAAATGTCAGTATAAAGTATAACTGTATTAGCCACATTATTCAAAGAATTTGTAAAAATAGTATCAATAAGGGTGGCAGATGAACTGGTCACTCTTGTAGGCATATAGATGAAGGGATACAGATAGCTGAAGTTCTCTTTTCAGCCAGAAGATGGCCGTGTGACTCAATCTACAAGAACACAAAGAACTTACCTTTGTCATTGAAGAAAAAATGAATGAACCCTATAAACCACCATGAAGATACCACACCATGGTGACAACATTGACACAATATTAGAATAACCATGGCCCTAGCCCCACCTTGCCAGCTGTCGTTGCAGACACAGCTCTTCTCCCCAGTGAGGTCACAGTAGCCATGGTCGGGGCTGCCACAGTTGTTCCTGCAGTAGGGGATGTCACAGGCCTCGCCCTTCCAGTACTTATCACACTCACAGTACACCCGGCTGGCGATGGAGTTCCCTGTGCTGCACTTCCCATGGCCCGAGCAGTTATTGGGGCACGAGTTGACCCTGCAGACACAGAACAGAGAGATGGGAGGGATGGGGATGTACATTTTGAAAGGTTATCATTGTAATAATTGACGAAAGACAAATAGCTGACAGAATGATTGATTAACAGAGGTGATTGACATCCATTGGAGCATTATTTTTCTGGGAGCAGAACAGATAGAGTGAGATACAGAGGAATTGAGAGAGAATTAGAGAGAAGTGCAATAGAGACAGACACAATAATTGAGAAAGAGGGAAGGTACAGTAGACAGAGAGACAGAAGTCAAGGATTCAGGATAATGCATGGGCTTTTCAGCAAACACGGGGACGATAATGTTTAAGGCTGTGACAACTGCGTTGCTATGGCAACACCTTTATGGCCACAAGGTGTATGTCTGTGCTGGAGACCTTGAGGCTGAGCTAGACTCTAGTCTGAAAGCCCATCCTTCTCTCTGGCTGCTGCTTTGTGAGGCAACCCAATTAATACTTGTTCAGAATCACACACACACACAGTACACAGTACACACACACACAGACGTCTCTCGTATGTCAACGGGTGTTATCTCCTCAGCTGTAATGGCGTTCCCCAGCTAATCCTGTGACAGACATTGTAGACCCTAGAGAGGATGGGATGTGGTCTGAGGTTGTATGTGTGCAGGAACATATAGAGAGGAAAGACAATTTAATGGGGACATGGCTCTTAGCCAACCCACTGTCTGCTACTGAGTCAGAGACTTCCCCAATGTGGATATACTGTATAGGTGAGGACTTTGACTGTAAATGTAAAGTGTGTGTATTGGCTAGGGCCACTCACGAGTAGGAGATGTGGAATCCAGTCAGGTTGTAGGCAGCGTCACTGAAAAAATGCAACAGTGCGTATCCAGAGGTTGCTACCACTTCCGGAACAGTCTCGTTCCCTCTCGGTTCCGGGACAACGAGACCGCTGTAGGAAAAGAAGAAAAAGACATTAATGATGGAGTATTCGCACACGGTATTCACACACACACACACACACACACACAAAACACAAATGCATGCTAAGCTCCAAAGCATGCTGGGTAAATGATCACCCTTCGCTTGACTGCTGAGCTGGGATTGCTGTCACCATGACAACCCCCCCTCCCCTTCCGTCCACCCTCCTCCTCTCTCTACATCATTGGGAGAAAGTGATTCCTTTCTCTCCTTGGGATCGATCCCTCTATCGCATGGAGGATCAGGCTCAGGCCTGAACAGCACAGCACACACAGTACACACAGCAAAGCTCCATCAAGGTTATCGGAGAGAGTGGAGAAATCCACTCTAATCTGTTTACCAGCAGTCAGACAGAGTCCCCACTGGGAGGACTACACACAGGCTCCTAGGTTCAACACAAAGACCACACAGACAATACTGATGGACCAGGGGAGAGTTGATGGTGAAGGACCCCCAGTGGAAGGAATTACTTTGTGGACCGATTGTTCAAAGGGAAGGGGGAGAGAGGGTGGCTAGGTGGGTGGAGAATATTGCTTCTAAAGATTGGAGAGGAGGAACACCTAAAACAGGCCTAAGAGTAAACACGTATCTAAATAGAGTATGATGACACTCACCTGAATACTGCGACCAGAGGTGCATAGATGGAGTCTCCGTCATAGACGTACATGTGGTCCCAGCTACATTCCGTGGCAAAATGGTTGAAGCGCAACCTGAGCACAGCGTTTGGGCTGGAGGACAGAACATAGAGCATGGTTTAAAATGGGCTGCAGTAGTAACTAGAACTTCACAACTGCCCACATCTGACCAGGATTCTTTACAATAGACAAATAATTTAACACTAAGACCATTGAACAATAAGATTAATCAGTCTAAGAATGAATTCATACTGTACGGAATGTAGAGAAATGGGGGTATGAACAGCGATAGGAGGGAGGAGGAAAGAGAGAAAGAGCTACTTACTAGCCCTCGATCAGCCAGGTGCACTTGGTCTTGTACTTGTAGTTGATTGGTCCATCAGTGAGGGAACCTGACAGCTCTGTTAACCTGGCAAAGAGTGAAAACCAGCAATTAATACATGGAGAGAGAAGGATGGATAGATACAGTTGATGTCGGAAGTTTACATACACCTTAGCCAAATACATTTAATTTAATCCTAGTAAAAATTCCCTGTCTTCGGTCAGTTAGGATCACCACTTTATTATAAGAATGTGAAATGTCAGAATAATAGTAGAGAGAATTATTTATTTCAGCTTTTATTTCTTTCATCACATTCCCAGTGGGTCAGAAGTTTACATACACTCAATTAGTATTTGGTAGCATTGCCTTTAAATTGTTTAACTTGGATCAAACGTTTTGGGTAGCCTTCCACAAGCTTCCCACAATAAGTTAGGTGAATTTTGGCCCATTCCTCCTGACAGAGCTGGTGTAACTGAGTCAGGTTTGTAGGCCTCCTTGCTCGCACACGCTTTTTCAGTTCTACCCACACATTTTCTATAGGATTGAGGTCAGGGCTTTGTGATGGCCACTCCAATACCTTGACTTTGTTGTCCTTAAGCCATTTTGCCACAACTTTGGAAGTATGCTTGGGGTCATTGTCCATTTGGAAGACCCATCTGCGACCAAGCTTTAACTTCCTGACTGATGTCTTGAGATGTTGCTTCAATATATCCACATCATTTTCCTTCCTCATGATTCCATCTATTTTGTGAAATGCACCAGTCCCTCCTGCAGCAAAGCACCCCCACACCATGATGCTGCCACCCCCGTGCTTCACGGTTCGGATGGTGTTCATCGGCTTGCAAGCACCCCCTTTTTCCTCCAAACATAACGATGGTCATTATGGCCAAACAGTTCTATTTTTGTTTCATCAGACCAGAGGACATTTCTCAAAAAAGTACGATCTTTGTCCCCATATGCAGTTGCAAACCATAGTCTGGCTTTTTTATGGCGGTTTTGGAGCAGTGGCTTCTTCCTTGCTGAGCGGCCTTTCAGGATATGTCGATATAGGACTTTATTGTGGATATAGATACTTTTGTACCTGTTTCCTCCAGCATCTTCACAAGGTCCTTTGCTGTTGTTCTGGGATTGATTTGCACTTTTCGCACCAAAGTACGTTCATCTCTAGGAGACAGAACGCGTCTCCTTCCTGAGCGGTATGACGGCTGCGTGGTCCCATGGTGTTTATACTTGCGTACTATTGTTTGTACAGATGAACGTGGTACCTTCAGGTGTTTGGAAATTGCTCCCAAGGATGAACCAGACTTGTGGAGGTCTACAATTTTTTTTCTGAGGTCTTGGCTGATTTCTTTTGATTTTCCCATGATGTCAAGCAAAGAGGCACTGAGTTTGAAGGTAGGCCTTGAAATACATCCACAGGTACACCTCCAATTGACTCAAATGATGTCAGAAGCTTCTAAAGCCATGACATCATTTTCTGGAATTTTCCAAGCTCTTTAAAGACACAGTCAACTTAGTGTATGTAAACTTCTGACCCACTGGAATTGTGATACAGTGAATTATAAGTGAAATAATCTGTCTGTAAACAATTGTTGGAAAAATACTTGTGTCATGCACAAAGTAGATGTTCTAACCGACTTGCCAAAACTATAGTTTGTTAACAAGAAATTTGTGGAGTGGTTGAAAAATGAGTTTTAATGACTCCAACCTAAGTGTATGTAAACGTCCGACTTCAACTGTAGGTCACAGTTGGGTCACTATTTAAAAGAAGACGGAAAATAAGCTATAGGATGAAAAATGCCAGAGTTTTGGTACAGGTAAAGCCGACTAGCGCTAGCTAACACTAACTATCAATTTGTCCCCCATCATTAGAGGGTATAGGCTTAATTAAAACTCAAAAAAGGTGAGAATGAAGAAATGTCATCCCATTTGCAACATGGACTGTCCCAATTAAGCCTACTATTAAAACGCTGTTATTATACTCCTTTCCCTCTGCACAACAATCATACACTACACCTCATTCATCATGAATAAGAAAGCTGGCCAGCATATCGAATCTATTAAATGAGGTCAATAAACATCACCAGGAAAACACCTGCTTCTCTTGGCTGAGTAGAAACACATAATAGAATGGCACTCAGGTGAGAGACGGGGAGGGAGACAAATTTGTCAGCCATGGGTTTGCCTGCTACATTTTATGTGCATATAAATGAAAAACTATTCCAACCTGTCTATCATATGAGCCCATCAATGTGGTGCAGCTACAGTACATTTCTTGTGAGTAAGTGTCGTCTGAGATGTGTGTTTGAGTGTCTGTTTGTGCATTGGCGTTCTCTACATGTGATCACATTGAGGGCCTTCCTCATCTCAAATGGGGAATTGAGGGACAGATATGTGTCCGCTTTAAGGAGTCCTTAACTGAACAACAATCCCAACAACCATCTCAACCAATTACACTGAAACCAGGGCCATCATTTTCTGTAAACAAATCCGTGCACCAAGATGCAATTCGATGCGTGGTAAATTTACTGTTGAAGAAAAATACCCTTTATAATAAAGCCATAATAACATATGTGATGTGGCATAGGCTACAGTTGAGAAGAGGCGTTTTTAGGATTTCCACACATTTTTTTTGGTGCTTTTAAAAACAAATTTCATGCAATTGTACGTAATTTACATGATAGAAGACATAATAATAATAATAATAATAATAATAATACAATAATAATAATAATAATAATAATATAATATGCCATTTAGCAGACGCTTTTATCCAAAGCGACTTACAGTCATGCGTGCATACATTTTTGTGTATGGGGTGGTCCCTGGGATCAAACCCACTACCTTGGCGTTACAAGCGCCGTGCTCTACCAGCTGAGCTACAGAGGACCACACTGGCTGAATGTTTTTAATACCACACAAATGACCCAAATATTTATTTAGGCTACAGTAGGCTACTAAACACAATTTCCAGTGGGAGACTGACTCACCTAATGATGAAGCCATAGGCTACTACTCACGGTGATGGCCGATGCGCTTCTCTTGGCAATAGCCTATCTCAAGATGAGCTACTTTGAAAAACAGTGCTGCTGTTTGCAAAGAAATTGGGAGTTGTTGAGAAAAACAAATCTATTGGTTCTACAGACAGATTAGTCTTCTCTTTTCAGCAGTGTGGCATTTGCTTCCAAACTGTACGTTTTCCCCGCAATTGTATGTTGAAATGTGCAAAAGGCAAACAGACAGCCACAACCAACCATACAGTATAATTATAATCCATAGATGGCAGTTCCCATTCAAGTCAGGACTGGCAGCCATTGCTATAGTACCCATAGAGTTTAATAGTCAAATGGCCAGGGTAAGAGGTTCCAAAACCCTTCTATGGATTATGTCTATGTCCACAATGAAAAAAGCTGTATATTTGGGTACATGCTGGCCAAATTGCAGCCTTCCCAAATGTAGGCAACCGGTAACTGCCAAAATAAATGAGGGATACAAATAACATGTTATGCATGTTATGGGTGCATTTTCCTGGCATGATTTTTTTTTTTTTTTTTTTTTTTTTTTTTTAAGTCATTTAGCAGACGCTCTTATCCAGAGCAACTTACAGTTAGTGAATACATATATATATATATTTTTTATACTGGCCCCCCATGGGAATCGAACCCACAACCCTGGCGTTGCAAACGCCATGCTCTATCAACTGAGCTACATCCCTGCCGGCCATTCCCTCCCCTACCCTGGACGACGCTGGGCCAATTGTGCGCCGCCCATGAGTCTCCCGGTCGCGGCCGGCTGCGACAGAGCCTGGATTTGAACCAGGATCTCTAGTGGCACAGTTAGCACTGCGATGCAGTGCCTTAGACCACTGCGCCACTCAGGAGCTATTTATGTCCACTTGTAGAATCTATGCCAAGGCGTATTGAAGTTGTTCTGGCAGCTCGTGGTGGCGTTTCCTTTATTTAGGCAGTTATCTGTATGTGCTTGTGATCTAATTTAATCCAAACCATTGATCCATCATTCCTTCAATTCTGACCAGTTTCCCAGTCCCTGCCCATGAAAAACATCCCCAAAGCATGATGCTGCCACCACCATGCTTCACTGTGGGGATGGTGTTCTCGGGGTGATGAGAGGTGTTGGTTTTGCGCCAGACATAGCGTTTTCCTTGATGGCTTAAAAGCTCAATTTTAGTCTCATCTGACCAGAGTACCTTCTTCCATATGTTTGGGGAGTCTCCCACATGCCTTTTGGCGAACACCAAACGTGTTTGCTTATTTCTTTCTTTAAGTAATGGCTTTTTTCTGGCCACTCTTCCATAAAGCCCAGCTCTGTGGAGTGTATGGCTTAAAGTGGTCCTATGGACAGATTCTCCAATCTCTGCTGTGGAGCTTTGCAGCTCCTTCAGGGTTATATTTGGTCTCTTTGTTGCCTCTCTGATTAATGCCCTCCTTGACTGGTCCGTGAGTTTTGGTGGGCGGCCCACTCTTGGCAGGTTTGTTGTGATACCATATTCTTTCAATTTTGTAATAATGGATTTAATGGTGCTCCGTGGGATGTTCAAAGTTTCATATATTTATTTATAACCCAACCCTGATCTGTACTTCTCCACAATTTTGTCCCTGACCTGTTTGGAGAGCTCCTTGGTCTTCATGGTCCCTCTTCCTTGGTGGTGCCCCTTGCTTAGTGGTGTTGCAGACTCTGGGGCCTTTCAGAACACGTGTATATATAATGAGATCATGTGACACTTAAATAAAGTCCATCTGTGTGCAATCTAACTAATTATGTGACTTCTGAAGG